TGATTTTTTTGTACAAAATTGTTTTGTAATTTTTTGACATTAAAAAACAAAATTAGTTTTTTAAGGGCATAGGCAAGGGGGTTTAATTAAAAAAAAAATTAGTAAAAATTCAAAAATATAGACCTTATTGCTTAAAACAAGGCCCTAATCGGACCTCCTTTATCTATAAACGTACATCTCTACACAAAACCAGAAAGAGACAACCTGATACCCGGATCCTGTAAATTCACAGTTGACCAATTTAGAGGAAACTAATCAAGCGAGAAGTAGTCACTGATTTTGGATAAACTAGTGCTAGGTCTACTTACACAAACTCGTAAATGTAATTCTCTGGAGTTTCGTTTTCTTGTCAACGACGAACAAACAGGAGATGGGGCAAATACTACTCCCTTCGTGATTAAAGCACGAAGGTGGGAAACTAGAACATCGGCTTAATCCTCCGGAAGGATTTTGTCTTTATTAACTGTAATAGATCCACAACGTTTGGATTTGGAGATAAAAATTTCATATGTTTTTATGTTTGGATGTTCGGTAGCTGCACTTGTCGGGTATTTAGACTCTTGTTGATAGTTCTAAAGACCGAAATAAACAATTATTAACTCCTAATTGCGAGTTTAAATACAACATTACCCATTAAAAATATTTTCAACCTTATTTTTTGATTCAGCTTCCCAGTAGAATTGATAATCCCAACTGGGAAGTTAAATTTAATAAATCCAAAAAACGATAACTACATTCGAAAATTCCCATTTTGCTTCATTATTAACTTTTCAATGTCTATATAAACAATACAATGGTTACTTGTGAACGGTCCGTGAGTTTTCATAATAAATAGCTGATCGACTACGGGCTTTGAACAACATTTCAATTAAATTTTCAGTTAACTCGTCGCTTTAAATATTGCGATTCGTGAATTATAAATGGATTGTTTTTCGCCGTTCGAATATATATATTTTCAAAAGTGCTGACGTTGTGGAAAATATTTTATGATTTTAAGCGTTTTTGCAATCGTTATGTTGTTGGGACATCAAACAGTAGGTTAAATATTCATAAACATCTAATCTGCGTGTAGCAAAAGCTATGATGATTTACTTTTAACTTTTTCTTAATTAAGTGACACATCTACAGTCAGAACAAATTTTGTGAACAAATACTTTTGATATCAATTTGAGTTTGTTCGTATTATGAACACGTTCCGTGTGGAAAGCATACATGTGAGCCACAGGGTGTCTTCATCAATGTGCTACAGCTCGCGTGTATTATTATTATTATTATTTACAATAGATTAGAGCAGAGGTTGCAAAACCCATATGCCCATGTGACTACAATGTTATATAGTGTACAATTAAATTGTTACATTACAGTAGTTACATATTAAGCACTAACTAACTAAATGAATATACAATAACATAGGTAATAGCAAGTGTTTAGTACAAATTAAATGTTCAATTATGGAACAAAAGTTCATCCAGTTTATTTTTGAATATATTGACAGATGGAGCATCTATGATCTCAGCCGGAAGGCTATTCCATATCGAGAACACTCGATTACAGAGAAAAAATTGTCTGGTTGTTGTTAAAAAAGTTTCCTTTTTAATCTTAAGTTTGTGGCCACGAAGACGATTGTCATTGTCTATTATGAACATATTCCCCAAATTTCCAAAGTTGTATTTTACTATCCGAAACGTAATAATTAAATCGCCTCGAAGTCGACGTTGTTCAAATGTAGTGAGATTGGCCATATTCAGTCTTTCTGTATACGTAGGTCTTGAGCGACCAAAAGACATCCTGGTGCACTGCCGCTGTACGTTTTCAAGAATATTACGATCGCGCACTAATACTGGACACCAAACAGTTCCGCAATATTCCAGAACTGGACGAATGTACAGTTTATACAGATGAATTGAGCTCATAAATGACATTTTCGCAAACGTTTTATTTAGTAGATATAATTTACTGTTAGCTTTTTTAGAAATATGCAAAATGTGTTCCGACCAACTTAGATTGTTATTAATTATAACGCCTAGATCATTATGCGATTTCACTGTTTTTAACACGCGCCCATTAATAGAGTAAGGAAGACACGGATTATTTTTACCCATGTGAAGAACTACACATTTTTCCACATTAAGAGGCAGCGTCCAGGTAGAACACCATTCCGATATGCAATCAAGGTCATCTTGTAGTAACTGGAAATTTACGGAGGGATCGGAAAATAGCTTCGTGTCATCTGCATAGAAAGCATTGTTGCATTTGATATGAAATTGTAGATCACTTGAGTATGCTATGAATAAGAGTGGGCCCAAAACTGATCCTTGCGGTACCCCACTTAAAACCGTTCTCTCAACTGAGAAAGAGTCCCCAACTCTAACACAAAATTTTCTATCTGTTAAATACGCGTCGATCCATTTCAGTAGTTGACCACGGATACCAAGATGTTCCAATTTATGTAATAGTCTTCGTTTTGGAACTCTATCGAAAGCTTTAGCAAAATCGAGGTATATAATGTCCACCGGGGCTTTTCTGTCTAATGCTCTTGACCATTCATTGACACACCAGAGAAGATTTGTCATTGTAGAACGTCCTTTGACAAAACCATGCTGCTGTTCTGGTATAACTAGTTCATTTTGCAGAAAATCAGAAATTGTCTCGGCAATAATAGTTTCCATTATCTTAGATATTATAGGTGTTAAGCTGATAGGACGATAGTTATTAGGATCCAGTTTGTTCCCTTTTTTAAAGATAGGTGTTACAGATGCGGTTTTCCATATAGGAGGCAAAATATGTGTGGTGAATGATAGGGACATAATCACATATAGTGGATAAGCTAAAGCATCAGAACATTTCTTTAAAAATAAAGAAGATATTAAGTCGAGACCAGGAGACGAATTATTTTTTAGGCTTTGAAGATGATGTTTAACTTTTTCAGGAGTAATGATTATATTTTCAAGAGAAGAAGAAACTCGTGACGAAGTAATATTAGGGAACTAATAATTAGTGGGTTCAACAGAGAAAACCTTGGAGAAAGTACTGGCGAGAAGTTCGGCATTCTCATAGTTATTTTGGGATATATCCCCATTATCATTTTCCAGTAAAGGTATAGAAACTTTTGTTGTCAACGAAGATCTAATATACTTGTGCAATTTTTTACAGTTATTACTGATGGCTATACTCTCTTCGTAGGCAACACGAGCTTCATGTAAAGATTTCTTAAAATCTCTGGCAAAGTCTCGATGAATTTGTAAATCCTCTATGCGATTTGTACGTCTATATTTGTTCCACAACTTTCTTTTATACTTGATCAGATATATTAATTCCCCATTAATCCAAGGTTTTATGTTATTTTTGTATATGGTTTTTTTGAGGGTATTTTGGTTTTTGCATAAATTAACAACCTGTGTATGCCAGTGCTACATACACAGGTTGTTAACAAACATTAACAAACTCATCACTAATTAGCACAAATACCTTCGCATATAGTACAAACCCATCACCGCCAAAAAACTAGGGATTTTTAAATAGACCTCAAGACATTGGTTAACTCATCATTGGCCTACCTGCACCCCTTGACAGGTATATACTATAAATCCCTTTAATTTCACACGAATAAATCTAAAATAGATGTATTAAACGCAATTCATAGTTTTTTATTTCTCTTCATTCGCTTTTGTTCCTTTAACATGGATAGTGAACTGTTCATTGATTACGTTTTGACCAAATGCGGATGAAAAATAATTTCAAATTTCTCATTTCTCTATTATTATTTTTGGCATCCTTGAGAATTTACGTTACTCTGCGAAAGCAGAGACATATTACATGTATGATACATTTTAATATTCTTCAAAATTTTCTTGCAATTATTTACCATCCATAGCTTATTAAATGGGAAACAATGGTGTACATAAACATGCAAAGTTTACACGTATCTGTCCGTACACTCATTAGGAAAGTCAAGCAGGCTGAAGACGTCTTATGTGAAAAGTTAGATCTGAGCAAGAACGAAATTTTCGATTATAGATTTGTGAAATTTGTACCATATAGATATCATAAAAACTTGTAAAAGAATGTAATAGTGCAAACAAAATGTTTCTTTTTTAAAATTCTACGCTCATTATTATTATGAAATTCAAAACCAATTTTTTTTTAATTTCTCATCTTAAAAAATTAGTAAAAAAAGTTTTTTATTGATTTTCCGTAAATGGTCATGAGTTTACCTATCTGTAGTGATGAGTTTACAGATCTTCAAAGGATGCCGGTGATCGGTATATTATACTATACTATAGTAAACTGATCTATAACATAATTGATGGAAATTCATTTTATGTAACAGTAAAACACTGAAAACATTGTTTTCAAAACTTCCACAAAATTTATTATAACATCTTATCACTATAGCTGTTTCGACATAAGTTGACACTCCGCAATAAGTTGAGGAGGGAAGAACTGTTTGTCTCAAGTTGGTCATTCAGAATTATATCTGTGTTTTTTAATTTGTTGATTTCCATAGATTCTAACTTAACACAAGGCTTAAGGCCTTGTGAATGTGAAGAATTTGAAATTCGTCTGAAATTTTTCGATTACTGAAAGCCCTTTTATGTACATGAAATATTAATTTTATTGTAAATGATAAGTTGAACTGGGCAATGTTTCTTACAAATCTAGTAGTTACTGCTTCCAAAATAAAATATATATATATATATATATATATATATATATATATATATATATATATAAAAAAGAGTTCTATCATTATACCATTGTCTTATATGTAAGAAATAACCAGGCTTGTGTTGCAAATTTTTACAAGACCTAAAAGTATTTTTTTTCTTGGTATCCCATTTTGCTTATTTCAAGTACGCTCGTCGATTTTTTAACTTGATGACAGATCTATTAAGATACTTAAGACGTTGTTTCTATCAAATTCATTTATGAATAAGTTTTTTTTAATGTTGTTATTATAAAGTTTAAGTTTAGAATGAAAATAATAAAATATGTTTTTTAAGTTTTATTTAACAAGAAACATTCACACAAAAACATTCTCAAATTATCTTCTTTATTGGCTTTAATCCTAAAGGCATACCATCAGAAGGCTGAAGATTAAAGCTGCCTTTTTCTATCTGCACAGGAATTTTGGTTTTCCCAATGGGGACAATTTCAAAATGATGCAGCAAATGAGCGAACAAAATCTTCATCTCAAGTGTAGCGAACCTCGAGCCAATGCAATTCCTGGGACCTAGTCCAAACGGAAAGTAAGTGTAAGGATCTATTTTGTGTTTGTTCTCGTCGCTGAATCTCTCAGGATCGAAGCGTTCTGGATCTGGGAAGTATTTGGGGTCTTTGTGAAAACACATCACTGGGAATGATACGGCCATTCCAGCCTTTATGTGTAATGGTTCCTCATCTGGACTTTCCGGTTCGATGACAAAGTCTTTGCTACACTCTCTGTCAGTCTCCGGAAAATTGGGCCATTTTCTTAAACCCTCTAAAAAATTAAAAAACATTATATAGCATACATTATTATAGCATATAACATATTATATAATATATATTATAGCAATAATAACTAAGAAGAAACATAAAAATATAGAAAAAATTTCAAAACTAATTAATTACTATTTAACTGGGAATAAGCCACAATTAAAGATAAAAATACGTTTATTGACGTTTCAATTTCCACTTCGGAAATCGTTCTCAAAATACAAACAGTAAATTGATTTGATTTAAATAATAAATAATTTCTTTACCTATTTGAAATGGACTCACACAAGCAACACATTCATGATTTTATAATTATTTTATTCTAGCTGGCACTAAATTTATAGCTAAATACCTTGAACCATTTCTGGATCTCTCAAGTTGGCCAAATTCTGGTTATTGTTAAAACTGATGGGATAATTGTGAAAATCTACATGCGCATTGTATTGGCTAAGATTTTGTTTAATGTGCAAGAAACACTGTATAATGTATACAAAAGGTAAAGTTAAAATGTTTAAAGCTCTACAGGAGTTTCTATAGTCTGCTCTATATCAGAGCCCAGAGATAAAACGAACACACTTTCTTTGTCAATATCACAAGACAAGATATGACAGGATATGACAAGAGTGACCCCAGGAGAGAATAGCATATGTCAGATGAGAATGAAAATTACTATAAGCTGTTAAAATTGTTTCCCTAGAAGTGACATGTACAAGGTACCTAAAGAGGAAACGTTGCCAGGAAAGCTTTTTCGATAGATTAACTCTATCTTCTTCCCAGGTTAATCCTGGATCCAAATATATATCCAGAAACTTCGCTCCGGTTACACATTGTGGTAGAGCAACGTTTTCAACACAAGTGTTATTTCTTAAAGTAAAATTAACACTTTGTAATATAGAGTTGTTTAAAGAGAGACAAGTAGCTAAAAACTAATTGAATAAGTTTTTTTCAGATGTTTGGTAATCAAGAGTGTCGAACTCAGAAGGATGATAACTTGCATAGAAAGTAGTGTCATCCGCAAATAAACAGTGTTAACTATTTTATTTTGAGAGATTAACTTCTTTTAGTTTATTTTGAGATTAACTTCTTACACATTGGATGAAGTGAACATATTGATCACGATTTGATAAGATATAAATCAATTAGTTAAATAGCATCACTATGAAAATTATAATTAGGAAGTTTTATGACCAGAATACTATTTGTGACACAATCGAATTAGTAAGATCTAAAAACGATGCATCAAAGAGTATCAGATATTTTTCAAACCCTTCCAAAATATTGCTTAGTGAAATAATCAATAGCTAAAGTTGTTTTATTTTTTCGGAATCCGTACTGGGTTGTGGCAAACAGTTAATTAGATTCAAAATGTAGATTAATTTGATTTTTTAAAATTCATTCGTAAACTTTTAATAAGATGGGCAATAAAGAAGTGGGTCGATAATTGTAATAATCATCAATACAGCATTTATTCTTAAATAGAGGTACTACCCTTGCAGTTTTGAAAACTTGAAGATAAGTATTACAAGATATTGATTGATTTATTAAAGTTGTTAGGGGTTGAAAAGTTATATTTTTAATTGTTTTAATAATTTTTTTTTCCTAAACGATTAATCAAACAATTTGAAATTCTTATGATTTGTTTATATGTATAAGCAAACTAATTTTACCTGAAATAACCGCATCAAAATATTTCATCGTGGTCAACACTTCATAAGTCAAATTTCCATTACATATCATGAATGCTAGATCGATTTCTATCCTTAGTAGTCTTTGAACTTCTGGATTCGTTGCTAATTCATAAGCGATGAAACACATCGTGTTGGAAACTGAATCGAAACCTCCCAAGAAGAAGGTAAGGGCATGAGAGGCTATGTCTCCATTGGTGATGGGTGCATTGTTTTCTTAAAAATATAAATACCAATAGAATATAATTATTATTTATTATAATAAGACTTATATATTATTGTTATATTATAACAATATTAGAGAAGTAAAGAAGTAGATGATGAAAACATAAAATGGATAAAATATTTATTAAACTGGAAATGACGTAACACAGTAAAAGCGAAAAAAATTGAATATATTGTATACCTATTACATACCTTCGTGATTTGCTTTAATTTCGTCTTTTTTCTTGTTACCGTGCTTAGCTTGGAGTAGAAGATTTATCATGTCTGGGCGTTTTATGTTCCGTTCTTCCCTGGCTTTAATGGTACTTTCTATAATATCAGTAAAGAATCTTCGTGCAGGACCATTAAAAAAGTTGACGTGGAATAGCTACACACATAACAAGAATAAAAAAATTAGTAATCAGAAAACCAATTTTGGAAATGAAATTTTTATCATCTCAATGATCAACATTGTTTGTTCATTGAAAGTGTAAATTTTGTAGCTTTACAATCGATCACCGATCCAAAAAAAAATCTCTTCGGCTATCTGGTGAAATCAAAAACGTAACCAGGTTAAAAACCGGCAGGACGTCTTTAAAATTAAAAGTTAGCACCAACATTTATGAATTTCCGGAATTACAGCGACTTGTTCTTCTTCCTCAGCTTTTTCCTTTTCAGGTGTCGCTATTCCTTACTCCTCTTCACTACTCATTTCTGTTCATGGGGTCTTCTTCACCTAAACCTTTTTCTCCTTAATGCTCTACCACACAGTTTTTCCATTTTCTCCTCGGTTTACATTTACCTTTTTTTTCTTGAACTTCTATTAGCTTTAGACTTCGACCCACATAGTTTTTATTTCTACGTCTACACGTCTAACGTGACCAAACCATGCAGTCTTTGTTCTTAATCATTTTTTGAGACTATACCGAAGTCTCACCGAACATTCACCATAACATTTTTATTCCAGCTACCTCCATCGCCTTTTCCTGAATTCTCTTTACAGATCAGACTTCATCATCGACTCAGGTCTAACCACACTCTTGTATATCTTTTCTTTCAGCCCTTCCCTGATTATCGATCACAGAGTACTTAGCTGATTTTTTTTTTGAACCTATTCTCTATCCTTCCATTGTTGGATATAGGTCTCCCCCAGTTCTCTCCATCTTTCCCCATCTTGAGCTGTTCTCTGCCATGTGGGACCTCCTTGTTTCCTGATGTCATCTTTCCACCTCATCTGTGGTCTGCCTCTTGATCTCTTTGCATTGTATGGACGCCACTTTCCGATGGCATTGTTTCATCGTCCGTCTTGGAGACGTTCATTGTGTCCAGCCCATTTCCATTTCAGTTTTGCTGCTTGTTCTATCGCGTCTACTGTCTTTGTTCTGGTTCTGATCCACTGGTTACGTTTTCTATCTCTAAGTGATACACCCAACATTTGTCTCTCCATCGCTCTTTGTGCCTTCCTTATCCTATCCAAATTGGCCTGTGTAAATGTCCATGTCTGTGCTCCGTAGGTGAGCACCGGTGTGATACAGGAGTTATATACCTTGCTTCGTAAGTACAGAGGAATTGTTTGATTTTTTAGAACCTAAGAAAGTTTGCCGAACGCTGCCCATCCCATTCTTACTCGTCTCGATATTTCGGCTGTTTGATTTTCTCTATTAGCTCTGATTGCTTGTCCTAGATAGATATACTCATTTACCTGTTCTATTTGTTCTGTTTTTATTTTAATTGCCTCATGGTCTTCCGTGTTTGTCATTACTTTTGTTTTGTTGAAGATAATTTTTAGGCCTTTTTGCACTGATTTTTCATGAAGTTCATTCAGCATTAATTCCAGTTCTTGTCGTTCCGAGGAGATCAGGAGTATATCATCCGCATATCTAAGGTGATTTAGGTATTTTCCGTTAATACATATTCCTTTGTTTTCCCAATCTGTTGATTTTATTATGTCTTCGAGGGTCAAGGTAAACAGTTTAGGTGAAATTATATCGCCTTGTCGGACTCCTCGTTTAACTTTTATATTATCGGTTATTAATTTGTCGTCCAGAATTACGGTCATGGTTGCATTTTGGTAAATATCATGTATCAATTGTCGGTATCTTGAATCTATTCTACTATTGACCAGAGCTTCTTCAACCGCCCAGTGTTCAATGCTGTCGAAAGCCTTTTCATAATCTACGAATGCTAAGTACAGCGGAAGGTTGTATTCATTGGTTTTTTCAATTAAGATTTTAAGCGTATGTAGATGGTCGATTGTGCTGTATCCTTTTCTGAATCCGGCCTGTTCCACTGGTTGGTAGTTATCAAGTTTATAGGTTAGTCGGTTGTTTATTATTCTTGTCAAGGTTTTATATAGTTGTGACAAAAGGGAAATAGGACGGTAGTTGTTTAGGTCTGTTCGGTCTCCTTTCTTATGTATTAAGATTGTGTTGGCATTTCTCCATTGTTTGGGTATTTTACCTTCAAACAGACATTTGTTGAACAGTATTTTTAGCATTTTTTTTATCGTGTCTTCTCCTTCTTTTAGCAGTTCCGCCAGTATTTTGTCCTCACCGGCCGCTTTATTTCTTTTCATGTCGTTTATGGATTTTTCGATTTCATCTTCAGTTATTTCTGGTAATACCTCTCAGCCAACATTTTGTATTTTCCTCGTGAGATTCTGTTTAGATGATAGTGGTGGGTCATTTTTAGAACTGTATAGGTCTGTGTAATATCTTTCTGTGATTTTTACTATTTCTCCTAGATCTCTTTCTTCATTGTTCTCAGCTTTAAGCATGATTAGTTTTCTTTTTCCTATATTTGTCTTCATTGTTTTTAAACTTTTTTTCTTCTCTATGATTTTCTTAATGCGGTCTTCTTGGTATTTCTTTAAATCTTCCTTTATCTGTTTTCTTATGGTTTTATGCAGTTCGGTATACTCCACTGTATTTCTTTTGTTATCATTAAGTAGTTGTCGTCGTTTTTTTAGCATATCTTGTGATTTAGCGCTAATTTTTTGTTGTTTTCGCTTTTGTTTATTAGCAATCTTCAGGCCTGCTTCTAGTAGTTCTGTTGTTATTTTATCGTTTAATTCGTCTAGTTGCAGATCCTTTAGCTGTGATATGTCACTTCTTTTTAGCTGGTTTACGTATTGTTCTTTGCGTTCTTTAAGAAGTTCTGTAGCTATCTCTTTTTTAGATGGTTTAAATTTTTGTCTGTCTGTTGTGGAGTTAATTTTGATTTTGGCTCTAACAATTCTGTGATCACTTCCTACGGAAATCATGTTTATGACCGTAAAGTCTTGTACTATGCTCTTTTCTTTGGATAGGATGTAATCAATCTCATTTTTTGTTAAACCATTGGGCGCGACCCATGTCCATTTTCTCTGTGGTTTTTTATTGAAAAAGGTATTCATCGCATATAGACCGTTCGTTTCCATATAGTTCATTAATGTTTCTCCTCTTTCGTTTCGTATTCCATATCCAAAGTTGCCGATTTTATTTTCTGATTCTTCTAGTTTTCTCCCTAATTTGGCATTGAAGTCGCCTATAATGATTGTGTAGGTGCTTTTGTATTTGTTCACTGTTTGTGTCAATGATTCGTAGAATATATCCACTTCTTCATCCGTATGTGATGATGTAGGGGCGTAAATTTGTATGATCTTTAAACTTATATTTTTATTTATGTCCATTATTAGAGCCGCAATCCTTTCTGAAATTCCAATATATTGTCTAATCTTATGGACATGCTGATTAGAAATAAGAAAACCGACACCAGCTAATGATTCGTCTTCAGTTCCTTTATAGTATAGTACATTCCCGAATTCCAACTTCATATAGGCTTCCCCTTTTCTTTTTATCTCACTTAATCCTAATATATCCCATTTCATCTTTTTTCGTCTCTCATCAGTGATCTGACATTATAAGTCGCAATATCCAGTTTCGTTGCTTGTTTTCGTTTTTTCTGGCAATCTTCTAAAACCCAGGGATTTTTAGCACCCTCTGCTCTTTCCTCGATCCTACCATTGCCTTGGAAGGTGACTCCGGAGCTGCTGGGGACTGAGGGCCAATTCCTACGTGTATCTGTCATAAGCTGATTAGCTTCCAGTTAAACACCCAGCCTTTATCTTGTGAGCAATTTCTAGATCTAGTTATCAGTTACGTGGAAACCAAGGTATTCAAATTTTTCTACTTGTATTAGTTTTTCACCAAGCAATTCAATTACTCTAACCAGTCCTAATACTTTCAACCACATATACTCCATTTTTATTTTTATAACTTCACGTGCTTTATCTTCAATAGCTCTTCTCCACTTTTCCAACTTCTGATCTAATATTTCTTTGCTCTCCTTAATGCTTTCTTTTCTTCTCGTTGTATTTCTGTATCAACTGAATCACAACTACTTGTAATATTTTAAAAACTATTTTTTTTAATTGAAAAGACACATTTTAAAACCTTAATTTTTTCTAAATTAAAACGAATTTGGTTTTATTTACCCTATGATATAGAGCTTTCTAGATCACACCTAACCTGCCCTAAATAAAACTACTTGTACAATAGTCAGACTTACGTTCGTACATGACTTTGCTCTTCTCAACATCTTTTTAAACTTCCTATTGTATAAACTGATTAATGTGAACAGTGTGATAAAAAGAAGATGTTATTATTTACTTTATTTCTTACGGCGTCTTCATTCTTATTACGTCTCCCAAGCAGCATAGATATTATTGTTTTGATCGGATTTCTCATTAAAACCCTCCAAGACCTTTTCACATCCAGGCTCTTAACTTCTATGCTAAGAGAGATTCTTTTGACATTCTATAAAATGATAAAAATTTAGTGTCATCCTGTTGCAGTTCTCTTGCACCAACAAATAACCGTTTTTGAAAATTGTGTTCAATGTAAGGATGCACCCATAATCTACTTTTCCTTTTCATCCGCTGGTACCACAAAAATATAACAATATCCTCCTCATCACTTGAACTGTTCATTGTATACAAATTAAACTAAAAATGTTAATATATCATACTTTTCACAGATCGAAATAGTGGTTTGGGTGGATATATAAAAAATGCGTTTTTCCTGGTTGAAAGATGTGAGCAAACTGAATCGACTTGTGTGCGGTGAAAAAATCGCTCGTGCAGCAGGTTTCGTATAAGACGAGCACGACACATGAACATAGACACGTGCCTTTGATCGACCCATGTGCGGACGGCCGTGTCTCATTACATTGTGTTTTAGCTTATGTGTACAAGCATCACCTAAACTACTGTAAGTAGATAGATTGATAAACTTAAAAAAAAAAGATTTTATAACTTAAAAATATTCTATAGGCACCTACCGACAATAATTTTGGCATTAATAGAAATCCAGCTAACTTTATATTCATCCATAATGTGGTAATATTGGTAAGATTGCCGGCCATCAAGTAAAACTCGTTATTGGGTTCGTTTAAAGAATCTGTACCGACACCGAAAGCGGTGGAAGCAATTATATCATTGGCAAATCTGGAAGTTACGTCTTTTGTATTAATTTCAATGATTTTTTCATTTCTTTCCGAGAAATGTTTTACGAGGTTTTTCGAGCATTCAGTCATAAGGTCAAACATCGTCTTCATCTTGCTGCTAGTGAAAGAAGGACTAAGTACTGATCTAATTTCTTTCCATCGTTCATCTATAAATAAAAAAAGGATATGCTCATAAATATCAATTAATTTATCAGATTTTTAATTGACTTAATTATGTCTCGTTTAATCGTCGTACCTTTAAGTGCAATCAGATTATTTGACCAGAGTGGATCAACTCCTTCAGGTATAAATGGTTTATGATTGGCAAAATGGTCAAATTCCTTCACAGTGATTTGTTTTAGAAGCTTTGGATCTTTTATCATTAAAACTGGTTTTGTAAGTTCATACTTTCCTATATACCTAGTAGATATAACAATAGAATTAATCAATAAACCTGGTTATCTGTAGTATTTGCAGCATTTTCATTTCACCCCGTATAAAAAAACACCGAAAAAGACTTTTTTGTCTTTAATATTGATAATTAAACATTTTTAGTTTTGTATTTAATATTAATAGAATAGACATTTTTAGTTTTAATAATATATAATATTGTAATATAACATAAATTGCTTTTTTTATCTTTATTCCGCCTAGATATTACGCTTGAAATGAAAGTTTTATAGAATCATATATGTAGTTATCTGTATTACCTTACCTAACCTACCGTACAGCTGTAAAAGCTGTATTACTGTATGGCTGCGAAACGTGGAAGATATCAGCACCCATAGTACACCAATTACAAGTTTTCATCAATAGAGCGTTACGAAAAATCCTTCGTATATTTTGGCCTAACCGAATCTCCAATGAAAATTTATGGAACCAAAGCAACCAAGAAAATGTCATAAAGCAAATAAGGCGAAGAAAATGGAGATGGCTGGGCCACACACTCCGTAGACCGCCAAATGACATTGCCAGGACAGCGCTGGATTGGAATCCCCAAGGCCGTCGGAAAGTAGGCAGACCTAAGGAAACTTGGAGAAGGACAGTACTGGACGAAGGGAGAAAAATGGGAAAATCCTGGCTTGAAATCAAAGCACAAGCCAGAAATAGAGTTCGCTGGAGACACTTTGTGGAAGCCCTATGTTCCTCTTAGGAATCTTGGGACTATATATATGTAGTTATCACCCAGGATAACATGAGGCTTAGTTTTGGTGTTTGTTAGCCTCTTATTGTGTCTTCCCATGGGCAGGATCCAGATCGTTTTAAGTTTGTGTGGAACAGTGTTTTTTTGTATCCAATCGCAAAGTAACAAAGTTTTTTAATAATTTAAAAAGAAATAATTAGCCAGTGAAGATAAAAGTTTTGTTAAATTTTTCTAAATTAACATTTTTCGTTAATATACTTTTTAAATTTGCTTTCATCACAAATTAAAAAGTTTATAAATGGATCAGCTGATTGATATTTTAGATTCCTTATAAATAAAATTAACCTTCAAAATTAGTTAATAATTTAAAAAAGTTTGGAAGCTTAAAGTCAGTGTAAGATTTTTTGATAAATATGGATTTTTTTCTTTGTAATAACTGTTTATGTAAAATAAAAATAAATATGTAAAGTTTCTCTTTAAACCAAGAGTTTAAAATTATTTCTTTGTCCCAGTTAATTTCTCCCAGTCACCCAAATAAAGGAATCCTTATCCACGACTTAGCTCTCCAAAAAAAACACGAGTAGCCGTTCGCAAACGTTTCAATTTATATGCTTACTATCTCTGAACCCAATAATTGTTCAGTTCCACGTTTCAACCTCCTATAATAGTACAGTCACTGAAGGTTTTCACTCCGATTTCATTGAACCGTCATCGATTTTCATAAAAATTGGGGGATACCTTAAGAAACAAAAGTGACATGGTGTCAACTTGCGCTTTAACCATGTGTTTGGATGCCACCTCTTCTTGGAGGTGGAAATTATTTTATTAAAAATATCCCCAGGAATCAATAGAAGGTCCAAATCTAAACAGAGTTTTAAAATGTTATTAAAAGTTATTAAAATACATCAATACTTTTTGAGTTATTGGAATATATTGGAAGTTTGGAATATATTAATAAAGCTTATCATAACCAATAAAAAAGTTTCTAAATGATTAAATACTAAATACTCAGTAAATAAGATTTCAATTCAGTAATATATTATTCAAATAATTAAAGTTTCTTGAAATTATTTTTTTTTTAATAATTCTGCTTTAAGGTGATTTTTAAGGGTTGAAATTTCACAGTCAATCAAAAATTACATCATTAATATTAAAGAAACTATTGGGGTAATATTAATATGCGATTTAATATTTCAGAAATATAAAAAATGATTTTTTCATGATTTTCGATTTAAGAGATAGTTGCTAAAAGGGTTGAAAAACTAATTCAAATCATAAATCATGCTTATAAATGTATTGTAGGTATTTAATTAAACGAGATTACTTATGCCAGAATGCTTAAATCTGCATTTTTTACCATTTATAACAAAAGGCGCTGATTTCACCCCTAAAATGCAAAAAGCGCAAGTTGAGCATATGTCACTTTCACCAAATTTTCATGCAAATCAATGGAGGTTCACCTAAATCGGAGGTAATAGTTGATTTTTACCTTCATTAACTGTACTATAAGCAAATTTATAAATTGTTACATGAAGCATTCTATAAGCATGTTTGTAGAAAACGATAACAATTTTATCTGCTTTTAATAACATTGAACATTGTCATAAGTTTTTTTTGGGTGTAGGATATTTCTATTTTAATTTTACAGGTTTGTAACAAGTAATTACTTGTATATTTTTTAGGATTTATATCTAATTGATACAGTTTTTCTAGATAATAATCGATCTTTCTAGGTTTCCGTAGAAGTTTTAACTCTTTCTTGTTCTTACTCTTAGATTCTTTACTACTGTTGGATTGTACTATTCTTAGATTCTTCTAGTTCGTGTTTTGATAGTACTGTGAAAGTTTCTTACTAATCTACAATAGCCAAAATAATTTGACTTTAAAAAAATTACATTGTATATTTAAATGCTAAGTTTATATTGAGTTTCGTTTAAAAAATTACTTTTTAAAAGTAAAGTAAAGAAGTTACTTATAAAAATGAAGATTATAGACAATAATAGTATTTTTTGCCAGTCGAGTAAGCGCTTATTTCATATCTATAGAGATAACATTTCTTTTAAAAACACTATGTAGATAAAATAATTAATTAAGTAATAATATCTAAAATTCTTTTTGTTCTATTTAACTTTTATCGATATGTTTCAATCTGTACATACCTTGCGTTTGGAGCTAGTTGATAGATTCGTTGCAAAGTCTCGTAGGCATTTTCCAATTTAAAAATTAATCTAAATTGGCTCCCAAAAAGCCAATTACCATCCTCTGATATCACTCCTTTTCGTCTCCAATAACTCATGGGTCTTATAGCATAGTAGTAAAAGAGAGCGACAATAACCGCTAACAAGTAGGCCAGCATGATGTAGAACTAAAATAGAATTATTTTTAAATAAACTAATGTAAAATAGCACCTTTTTCACATCGCAAATCCAAAGAACATCTCTTTAACTTCCTCAAATCTCGTGTTATTTCCATTTACTTGATAGCCAATCATTTCCTTGAGAATATTTGATATACTAATGTTTGCATGAAATATAAATTGATTTTACTGATAGAGTAAGACAGGATACAGAAACAGGATGAGTAGCAACAAAAATTTATGGAAAAGACAAGAAAAGGTTATAATCTAAAAATAAGTAGAACAATTATTAAGAAATTAGAAACTTTGTACCAATTAGCACCGATTATATCATTTCTTCCACTAGATGATATTTAGTGGTACCTCCGAACATTTGATTATGTATTAAACGGCTTAAGTTAGATTTCTTATACTTAGGTTAGATTTTGCTGAAGCTTCACATCTCTATATATGTAGGACCAATATCTTAGACACTATTTAAAATAACGCTCTTAGAATAATAAGCGGTACATTTAGAACCACCCCTATCTTATATCTTTAGGCTGAACTCGGAGAACTACCATTATATTGAGTGAGACAGGAATTATTGCTCTCATATGCATCGAAGTGGTACTCTTTACAATATCACTCAACCATTCGCTGCTCGAATATTCAGCACGCAAAAACCCACATTTCTTTTTACGAAAGATGCAGACGAATCACAAATGAATTAAACCTTAAAGTCCCTGAAATCTATCCATCCTGTGGCCAAACTCATTAGAAAAAAATTACACAACCTAAATCACAAAAACATTGTTTTCCTGTAGGTTTTATCTCATATTGGAATCACGGGAAACGATCTGGCGGATAAATATGCACGAGAAGGCTTAGAGGACACAACTATTGAGTTCTATCCAAAAACTTCAGCGACAGATCTCATATTATATTTCCACAGCAACATAGTTAACATATGGAATAGCAGATGGCATAAAAAACAGGCAAATTTACTTGAGATAAAACCCATATTTAAACCATGGTCTGATAGTTCCAGCAATCGGTTTTCTTAGTTTATCATTACACGACTGCGGCTTGGTTATAGTTGCCTTACGCATGGACATCTGATGACAAGGAATCCACTTCTTCTTCTTATGGTGCCCTATGCAATAAGTGGATGTTATCGACAATTCTGGCATACTCTTCTCGATCTTGTGTGGCTCTAAAGAGTGCATGGGCATCGAGTTTGTCCAATCTTTTATGTTTTTAAGCCATGAGTATTTCTTTCTTCCGAAGCTTAATTTTCTGGAAGGAATCCCCAACCGGAGTGCTATGCTTGCGAGACCCGGCTAACAGTAAAACACCTTCTAGTGGAGTGCCCGTTACACAGTGCGAAAACATGTAAATAATTCGGAATCCCGAAGAATTTGAGAGGACTATTCTTAAAGTGTGGTGCCAAAGTTATTATCCAATATCTCAAAGCAATAAACAATCTATACAAAATTTAATTGTTACGCTATTTAATTATTGGTAATACTTTTTCTTTTTTTACTAATAGCCTTACAGGCTGATTCGAGTTTGTAAATAAAAAAAATAGGAGTTGGTTCGAACGCCATAAGAATTCTATAGGTTAATATAAATGTGTAAAAACACTATTAAAGTTACAATTATGCCAATCGATTTAGATGAACTACAAGGGAAAGTTATAAGACCATACAGAAAAAAAATAGCCTTTTAGGTTGTTGAGAATATTATTTAAACAGCGGATGGAAGTTAAATGCTTTTAAGAAGCTTTATACAACTTTTCAATTTTAATTACCGAATCCATACTACGCTAGAACTTACAACTAAAATTTTACAAGAAATAAACCAGAGGATAAGTTTAGCAGATAAACAACAGGGTTTTCGTAGTGGAAGATTGTGTATAAATGCAATATTCATAAATTAATAAGAAATCACTAGAGTATAATAGATCAGCATTTCTATGTCTGATTAACCTAAAGACAGCGAGTCCAGTACATCTTCTGTGTAGTTTCAGTTTCAGGTTGAAAAGTTTTGGCGATATTACGTCTCGTTGTCCTTGTATTTTCGTCTAGTTGTACTATTATAGTTGCATTTTCATATATATTATGTATTAGTTGCCTATATCTCGAATCTATTATACAATTATTGATAGCTTGTCTATGGCCCACATCTCGATACTATCAAACGCCTTTTCATAGTCGAAAATACATAAACCTCCTACAAAAAATTAGTTTTTAATACCCCTTTTTATTTGATATACACTCGAAATCTTTTTCCGTTGTGATGTTAAGATTGGTGGAACTATATTTTAGAAGTATTATGAAATGATCCAATTTGTTGGAAGCAGCTTGAGTATCCACTGTAAAGAGTATCACAGATGAAAATGAATATACAATACACTTTAAACTTATGAATAACGTAAAAAATTGAGATTTACAGAACTAGAATAGAAGATAATTATAAAAGAAAATGGCTATTTACTAGTCCTGAAGCCCTATCACGACTAAACAATGATAAATAGATTGAAGTCGTATGTTTGCCAGTGGATGATGATAAAAATGGTCGTAAGTGAAAAACAGTAAAATAGATTAAACCATTAGGAGAGTCCATGTTAAATATCGAATAAACTAAATAAAGAGTAATAATTAATAAATCAACATTCTACTTACCGATAAGTAACTGCATCCAAAAAATGGATGGCAAATATGAATTCGTTAAACAACTATTTTATATGAAATTTATTCCAACAATAATCGATAATTTAACATAAAATGTATACGTTGTGGAGATATCAGACGATATAAAGATAATTGAGTAGTAAATTATTTAATCTAAACAAAACAATATACTTAAACTAATAGTGAACGCCAAAATAGGTTTGTCCTTGGTATATTAGTGCATAATAATGCTATTCGAGAGATACAGATTAGATTTATCTATTATAGATAAATGAAAATACCAAAAGTATATCTGGTATATCCGTGTTTAATTTGTTTTGTAACTGCTTCTACAGAAAAGCCTATTCGACAAAAAAATTGAGAAAACTCATGGTGATTCGTCACCAATAGAACTTCCTTTCTGATTTTTTTTTATTTTTAGTCGCTTTAAGGCTCCCAAAAAAATTCTGTTGAAAATGGAAGTAATTTATAATTCTACAATACTTATCTTGAATTTTGGTTGCCAGCATTGGCTACTCGTACATCCTCAGTGTCTGAAACTCTGTCATCAGGACTTTCATATAATTTACTGACTAAGTCATATATTAAAAAGTGTGGCTGAAAAGTCTCTACAATTTTTTATTTATGTTATGATGTTTAATGCAACAATCAAAATTGACAGATTTATAATAATACATTTAATTCTAATTACCCATGTATTCTAATTTACATAATACTTCTAAAAATTATAAAAATGAGATTGAATTATTTAGGACTATAAAAACAATGAGTAGCAGAAATGTTTTTGGAAATTCTGGGATCAAAAACTCAAGTAGAAAATTATGTTCATATATCCAAAAGCAGCAAAAAACAGTGAATGGTATATTAACACCACATACAAAATGGCTGCTAAATTGCTGGCCCAAAAACTGTGACTGCTAAATGAAACCCATGTGTTAAACTCCACAATTCACAGCTATTAGGTATATCGTTTTAATTCATTATCATTTTTTGTTTATTGGATTCCTAAATTTGCAGTTGTTGGGCATATGTTTAATTTACTAGTCTCTGTTTTAGAACTGCCTTAATTTTCACTGGGTATATATTTGGGAATAAATTAAACGCCTCTGTTTTTAAACCCTTTAAATATGTGTAGCGGTTCAATTTTTCTTAAATTTAAAACTTTTGACGGTATTCTACCAAGCCACGTCGTGCTTTTAGTTCTCATATCATTACGTCAGTGTGTCTAGACTGTTTGGAAAAATGCGTAATATCACCGTTGACTATGTTTTATTTTTAAGTTTTTCCCTATAATCGATTTGGTCTGGGGATAAGTTTGTTAAAAGTGTGTGAAATCAACCCAAAATATAATGTAAGCCGCATTCTTTTTTTAAACACCTATTAAAAGTGTCTATATTTTTCTAATTAGTCCGAAAAAGTTTATCAAAGGAATCGAACGGAACAACATTCTTAGTTCAGACATGTTTGTAGACGTAAATTTATTGTTTCGAATTAAAAAACTCAACAAAAAATATGGTAATTTTAATTCTCTTTCTGTCAATTTATTAAAACCTAATTTAAAGCAAGTTTTTCGTACTTTTAGAGAATTCTTTCAACCCCTGATTATTTACGGAAACAACCCTTGATAAATATTTTATTAACTTCCACATATCTGGCAACTGAAAACTGAACGTGTCCCATAGTACAACTACTTGGGAAGTATGATCAATGGGTCGTAGGACAATATTCAAGTGATTAAATGTCGCATCGAAAAGGTAAAAAGTGCATTTTTAACTATAAGCTGCATGTTCAAGTGCCATGACCTTACCCTTGGAAAAAATAAGGCTCATTAAATGTTATGTGTACTCAGTGCTTCGGTAAGCAGTAGAAACGTGAACATTAAAGGCAAAACTTTATTAAACCAGGCTTTTAGGTTACGGTTATACAGAAGAACCCTGAAGATACCATGAACAGACAAAATTATCAATGAAGAAGTACTACGCAGGATAAACACAAACAGTACTTGGGACATATAATGAGAAATTAAAGCAGATAACAGCTATTCCAATGCATTTTGCAAATTAAAATTGAAGAAAAAAACCCAGGATAAAGAAGAATATCCTGATATCCTGACTTTGACTTTACATTTTGACTTTGACAATGTATTTCAAGACTGGAATCTGTTTGGCTATAAGCTACTCACTGTTTTTAAACTTAATAATTTTCAGTCATTGAATCATTATTATCGTCATCAATATCTATGCGTCCACTGCTGGATATAGGTCGTCCTCGGCTCTTTCTATCTGTCTCTGTCTTGCGCGGCTTACATCCAGTTATTGCTTACACGCTTCAGGTCGTCAGTCCATCTAGTTGATGGCCGTCCTCTGCTCCATATTACTTCTTGACTTGGTCTCCACTCTAAATTACGTTTTGTTTATCGGTTTTCTGATAATCTGGCGACATGTTCTGCCCAATTCCATTTTAACGACGCGATTTTTTCGATAGCGTTTGTTGTTTTTTTTTTTCGTATTTAACGACGTATTTCTTCGTTTGGGATTTGGTCTTTGGATTCAGAGAAATACCCAATATCTGGCGATCCGTAGCCATCTGAGTCAGGGAAATCTGAGTAACTACCTTTTTTGCGAGTGTTTCCGCTCCATAAGTGAGTACAGGTAACACAAAAGTCATTAAATATGTGGTTTTAATTTATTTTTTGAAAGAATGGATCAAATCGGCTTCGCCTCAGCAGTTAATTTACATGCGGTATTGGCCATTTTTTAGTATTTTTAAGTTTTTGGACTCATCATGGGATGATTTGTAATTTGCAAAACACGATATTATTCAATTAATCTTTGCACCAATGAATCAATTAAACGGCGAAATCAGGAACAAGTTAAAAACAATTTTAAGGGAAATGCTACATCATATTTGGTTAAAGGTTCAAAAATTTGATTAGCGTAAAATTTCCTTATGAATAGAATATAAAGATGATAATGAGATGAAGGTTTAAAAAAGCCGGCCAGTCCGGGCTTGAAAATAAAAATTTAGGAGCATATCATACCATCCGAAATTGATTACTATTGGAATGTTCATAAACGTTTAAAATAAACAGCACAATCTACTCAAATTTTATTTTAATATATGTATTTATATACAAAAAGTACCTGGAAATTTACTTCAATTAACAAACATTGAATGCTAAAATTAGGATTGTTCTTGAGATGAGAGTGCATAGTTTTATTCAAGAGGTACAGATAATATTATAGATAAATGAATAAAAGCAAATACATATAAGTATTACTCAAGTGTAGTAGCATGATATAGTGCACAGATAATAATAAAAATATTTGTACTCGAGCACTAAGAAATCCTGACCACATTTAGTTACTTAATCTTGCTTCCTATTACTTTAAAATAATCATCTAGACGAATATGTTTCATTATCCTTAGTTGTTTTAGAACTAAATAAAACTAAAAATTACAAAAAATGTTTTAATAAAATATTAAAAATAACCGTATCAACATTTTTTATAACCAATTGAAGAAATAACAGGACAGCACATTTAACAGCAAATCGTCTAGAAAAAGAAGGGATGTTACTAACTGATCCACGCGGGATATAGTAAAAGAATTAGCTCATAGCTATCAAAAATTCTCATCCACCCAAAATTAAAGTAGTCTAATCATTATTACGATTTCGTTTTGGTATAAATGTCGATGTGTCCTGGATATTTTGCATGTTAGTATATTTTTGTAAACCCTAACTTATTGTTTACTGAAGTGTATCAAGATAGATTTCGAAACAAATAAAAAGACCTGACAACAGAAACCGTCACAAATTGTGTTGGTCCATTAAGCACACCATAAATATCGAAGATAATGCACATACAATCTCTACGTATTTCCTTTGGCACTCCTTACGGCCACATCGGAAATCTTTCCACTTTAAAGGTTATAAGAGTTTGGCCGCCGACCAGAAAACGTTTATAAATGAAAACGGCCAGAAAGATAATAGAAAACGTGGAACCGAAAACAAAATCCATTTGCCTCCCGCGTGTTTGATGTGGAGGATTTTATATTAATTTGCGCAGAATTGGCGTTTCCAGTCATTTTTTCTGCTTCGATGATCGATTTCAGTCGCATTCTAATTTCGTAGAAGATTACTTTTTTGAACTTGTAAAATTTCCACTTATTAGTGCTTTGCGGAATCAGCTCGCGAACACCGAACTCGAAACTGTCTGAGAAATTAAAATTCGCACAGCATTCCGGATATTAAAAAGACCAAATTTTAATTAGTTTTAAACGAATCACAGATACAAAGGACTCAGTGTTAAAATGAGAAATAATTGCACATTTTTGTAGAATTGTTCACAGTTTTACTAAAATCAATGTGTATATCAGAGACGCTTGCTTTATTTGTTGATTAGTCGATTTTATAGTCTATATATAAAAATAATGTAACAAAATATACACAAAATCATTGCGTAAACTTTATCAATGAATAAGAACGGACAACGACGACAAATATAGCTAATAAGCTGCATCATAGATGCATAAGAAATCGAAAAATTTTATATTAACATAGATCAAATAATGCGGCTGACAAAAAGAAGTGAGATAACGATGATCATGGGTAATTTTAACGCTAAAATTGGTCGCGGTGCTGAAGGAGACCACATAGGAGCCATACGGTCTAGGTACCAGAAATAATATAGGAGATAGACTTGTACAATTCTGCGTAGAAAACAATTTGTTAATAGACAATACCTTCTTCAAACACGTATAAGGCTATACATATGGAAATCACCTGTAGACAGAAAAGACAGAGTTGTTAGAAATCAAATTGACTTCATTTTTCTCAATGACACCTTTAAGAAGTATATAAAATCTACGAAAACATACCCTGGAGCTTATAAACATAGCGATCACAATCTAGTTATAATGGATTTTAAATTAAAAAGATTTCAAGTCAAAAAGAAAACAGTGACAAGAAAAATAGACATCTCACAACTGAAGAACCCTGAACAGAAAAATGAAATAAGTA